CTTTAACAAACTTTTTCATATAACACCGAACAACTAAGGTAATTGTTTTTGATTTTTTAGTATATCTCTTACTAAAAATTTATATTACCCTTTATTGGTCTCAATTTTGTATGTTACAATCTTATATCGTGTCAATTTTGTATTTTACAATTTTATACTTTGTAGATTTTTTTTTCCTATCACGTACAATCTCAATTATGAAAGAAACAAAATCTGAAAAATATAAGATTGTAAAATACAAAAACTTTCAATTTCGTTTTCGATTCCAGTGATAAAAAACAGACTTCAGACTAAGCTTCCGTGCTACTTATAACAACCTCTTCTTCTGCTCTGTTGTATGTAGCCATTCAGATAAAAATCATTGTTCATCTTCATTTACAATCAATGCTCTTAAAATCAAAAGGAAACCAAAAAAGCAAAGCCTATTATATAATTGTAGGCCAAACCTAAGGCCCATTATGGTTTGCTTTCAACCTTTTTGCTAATGAGCCGTTGCCGATTTACGAGGAGCGACTCCGCCGAGGACGACGAAAGGGTGAAAACTTAGGTTGCATGGAAACTCCATCCGAGAAATGTTTCCCGTTTTGGAAACGTTTCGAAAACCGAAATTCTTGGAAACCCATAGAAACGCGTTTCCTAATAAATTTTAATTTGGAAACGCGTTTCCAAAAATATTTTAATTTGGAAATTCGATGGAAACTTTTATTTTGTTTTGGAAACGCGATGGAAACTCGTTTCCTAGAGATCTCAAATTAGAAATACGACGGACATGTTCGATTTTGTTTTGGAAATGAGATGAAAAATTGTTTCTTACATAATAATTAAATAGTTTGGAAATGTAAGGATATATTTATAGGTTAAAAACAACAAAATTATGAAAGATTGCGTTTGCATATAGGTTAAAAACAACAAAATTATTATACTTTTGGCTTTTGTTAAGCTATTTAATATTCATGTATATAATTTGTGTTGTTTAAATTGTTTTAAATATTGTTTTTGATGTTGTTGATTCAAAT